CGAGCTGATTGTTCATGCTTCTTCCTATTGCTTTGTTTTTTATTATACTTAGAACCCGTAAGATCTGGTAAATGGCTGTAGTGTGCTCCCTTGTGGGTATGGATGGTAGTTATTCTATAATTCTTTTTAAAGTGCTTTATTATTACTGAAGTTAATGACAATTTTATTGATAAAATCAGCTTTTCTTAAATTATATTTATTTTTATTAAATATTTGGTGGTGGCAATTTAATATTAAATGTGAGGTGTTTACATGTTGGATTATATATATATATATATATATATATATATATATATATATATGTATATAAAACCAAAGGTGTTTAAGAGTAATTTGTCTCAGACTCTTTATTCCTAAAAACATTATCCTGAATATTTAGATGGTGATGGATATAACGTTTATTGAGTGCTTATTACATTCCAAGTGCTTAATATATAGAATCTCATTTAGTTCTCATGGCAACCTCTGTGACAGGTGTTGGAATTAGTCCCTTTTTAAGGTAGCTGAAACTAAGAAATTGATGTTAGGTAATTTGCCCAGTCTCACACAGTAGGTTACCCGGGAGAGTGGGAATTCAAATCTGTGAATCTGTCAACAGTATACGGAGTTCATATTCTTAATTGGGTTGTTAAAAGTTAGAATTTTTTAAAGGAATGCTTACTTTTAATGCAATTGGTAATAATTACCAGCTATCCATATAATATCTGAGAAATGTGGATATTATGAGGTTAAAGTCCACAAGAATGGCTGTCCAGTATTTGGAAATAATGGGTAACTATTCTACTTATAAATTTAATTATTTTGTAGTTTTGGAATCAGCAAGGAAAAGTGACAGCAAAATACAATGATTGTATCTGTATCTTTTTGCAGAAAATTTTACAGTTAGCATAACTTTGTAATGTTGGGAAGGGAAAAACCTTGAAGGGGTGAAATTTTAATCTGTAATTAAAAACTCCTAACATAGTGTCTATTACAATTTTGTATTGAGGTTTCTGTTTAAATGAAGAATAATTTTTCTAAATATTTAGTTATATAATTTAAACAAAATGGCTAGAAAGACTAAGAAATATATTCTTTTTTTTTTTTTGAGACGGAGTTTCGCTCTTGTTACCCAGGCTGGAGTGCAATGGCGCGATCTCGGCTCACCGCAACCTCCACCTCCTGGTTCAGGCAATTCTCCACAGGCACGCGCCACCATGCCCAGCTTATGTTTTGTATTTTTAGTAGAGATGGGGTTTCACCATGTTGACCAGGATGGTCTCGATCTCTTGACCTTGTGATCCACCTGCCTCGGCCTCCCAAAGTGCTGGGATTACAGGCGTGAGCCACTGCGCCTGGCCAGAAATACATTCTAAGTAATTGGCTTAGAGTGAGAGAATGAATACAGAATGTATCACAGTCCAGAAATTCTCTGACAATTGGCCTCCAGCAAAAAGGCTAGGCTTACTGTTTTATGCCCTTCAGCCAAAGACCAGCAGGAACACACTTGTAATTGAACAAGTCAGGTTTACTATTTGTTGCAGGGGGGAAACAGTATTCACTATGGGGAAACTGTAAGGCACATCAATCAGTAAGAGGACATTAGAAAAAACCTAGTATTAGATTTGTGTATAGTAGAGTATAGTTTGGGTTATTTTGGTGAGATATTAAGGAAGTAGATCCTTACCGTTGGTTGGGTGACATCAGGAAGTGGGGACACTTATATACTTGGGTATCTCAATAAATTTTATCTATATAGGGAGGACAGACTAATGCAAAATAAAGCTGTAATTGATGAACAAGTAGCCATCACTCATCTAGTGAGGCGGGATGTTTGGAATTTTGTGGGTTGCACAGTGACCTTGTCTGACTTGAATGTTCTCTGAGTTGGTTTTATGTCTAACTGGAGAACAACATGGCTTAGCTGTAAGCATCAGATCAGTTAACAACATTGAGCCCTAACTGTGAGTATCGGTTGAGTTTCCAGACATCAGGGGCTGGCTTTCTTTCTTTCTCAGGTCAAAGCAAGTGTATTCTACCATATCATTCCTACTGCTGATGGTAATGGTAAGTGACTATCCAATGTGAAAACAGTATTCCTGCCTCCTGTACATCTTAGTCCTTAATATTTTATTCTCCTATTGTTGATGACATTGTTTTTCTTCAGAATCAAATTGTTGCCCTCTTTTGCTTGCCTTTATTGCACTGGCCAGATGTTAATATGGAAATGGTTACTGGAAACATCCTTGTTTTTTTTCTGATCTTATGTCAGTATCAGACATGCTATCTTTAGTTTTCTAGGTAGATAACCTATATCAGATTTGGGTAATTTTCCTTGTATTGTTAGTTTCCAAAGAGTTGTAATTACTCATCAGTCTTGAATTTTGTCAAATGAATATTCTGTATTTGTTGAGATAGTCCTTTATTCATTTTCTCCCTCTCTTCTGTTTATGTGGTGAATTAAATAGCTTGATTTCTTTTTGTGGTTTTCTTTTTTGCTTAACAGAAATTTATTGTCTCAGAGTTCTGGAGGCTACAAATTTGAAATCATGGTGTTGTCACTGCCATTCTCCCACTGAAGGTGCTGAGGAAGGATCTGTTCTAGGTCTCTCTACTAGCTTCTGGCAGTTGCTTGGCTTGTGGTACCATAACATCAATTGTCACGTGGCATTCTCCTAGTGTGCATGTCTGTCTCTGTCCAGATTTTCCCCTTTTTATAAGGACATCAATCATATTGGATTAGGGCTCACTGTAGTACCTTTATTTTATATTTATTACCATTGTAAAGGCCCTATCCAAGTAATGTCTCATTCTGAGGTGCTGGGGCTTAAGACTCTAATATCTTTTTCTGGGGGTGTGGAGTGTGGGATGCTGCACAATTCAGTCAGTAATAACCTGGTACCAGACATTCATTCTGTTTAGGCAAAACTCATCAGTTGTACACTCTGTTGGGCGGGAAATATAGCCAGAATGCTTCATGGCTTGTTGATGGTCAACACTCCTTGATTTTTGAATGTGAAATCAGCTTTGTATTTTTCTAAGTGAGCTTCGCTTGGTCAGAATGCATTACCTTTTTAAGAAACCTACTTCTACATAACTCAGATGAAAGAAGAAATCATGATGGAAATTAGAAAATATTTTAACAGAATAATGTAAATGACCCATTAAAATGTGAGGTGCAACTAAAGTAGCTCTTAGAGGGAAATGTATAGCTTTATATGCATACATTGCAAAAGAAGTAAGATTGAAAACAATACTTAAGCTTGAATCTCAGGGAAAAGGATGGCATGTTAAACTCTTTCTAAAAAAAAGTAAGAGAAAAGAAATAATAAATATTATAGGAAAAAAATTAAAACAAGGAAGTAGAGGTAAACTGAGAAATATCAGCCAAGATAAAGGTTCATGCTTTAATAAGTAAATCGAATTGATAAAAATCTAGCACAACTTACCAATAAAAGAGAAGAGTACACACACACACACACACACACACACACACACACACACCCTTTGTATTTAGTTTTTAGTTTTTTTTATAGTGGCTTTATTTTAGAGATATAACCACATATATCTACTGTTTACCCATTTAAAGTACAATTCAATGATTTTTAGCATATTTACAGAGCGGTATAATCATCACCATAATCAATGTTAGTACATTCTCATAACCCTGTAAAGAAATCCTGTACCCTTTAGCAGCTACCCCTCATTTTCTCCAAAACCTTTCAACCCTGGGTAGTCACTGATCTACTTTCTGTCTCTATTGATTTGCCTACTCAGGACGTTTCATATAAATTGAATCATTCAGTATGTGGCCTTTTTGTTACTGGTTTCTGTCACTCAGCATGTTTTTAAGGCTTATGCATGCAGTAGCATGTTCAGTACTTCATTCCCTTTTATGGTTGAAATTATATTCTCTTGTATGGGTATGCCACATTTTTTTTATTCATTCATCAGTCATGGAACGTTTAGGTTATTTCCAGTTTTGGGCCATTATGAGTAGTGCTTTTATAGAGCATTTGTGTACAAGTTTTTGTGTGGACATATCTTTTCATTTCTTTTGGGTATATACCTACGGATGGAATTGCTAGGTCATATGACACCACTGTATTTCACATATTGTGGAACTGCCTGTTTTCCAAAGCAGCTACACCTTTTTGCAGTCCCACTAGCATTGTATGAACATTCCAGTTTTTTCACATCCTTGGCAACACTCATTCTCGTTGATTGTAGCTGTCCTGGTGCGTATGAAGTGTTATTTTATTGTGGTTTTGACTTGAGTTTCACTGATGACTAATGATGTTTATTGCTTATGGACTTTTGGTTTAGGAGTCTCTTTCTGGAAATGTCTGTTCAAGTTCTTTGACTATTTTAAAATTGGGTTATTTGATTTATTATTGAATTATAGCAGTTTTTATATATTCTAGATATAAAAGTCTGTATTCTATATAAATATATATTCTGTATTCTAGATATGAAAGTCTAGATTCAAGATAAAAGTCTCTTATCAGGCATATGATTTGCAAATATTTTCTCCCAGTGTATGAAATACATTCTTAATGGTAATATTTGGTTAATATGTTTACAGTTTTGCCATTCTAAATATGCTTGGTTGCAAATGTAATCTTTCCTTACATATTTCTTAATTATTCCTCCTTTTTCCTTTATATCTGTTACTTCCCTACTGTTTTTATTCCTAAACTTTTATTTTTATTTTTCATTTTCTTCAGGTACTTTTTTTTTTGCTTATACATCTCCATATTCTGTGAATTCCATATTGAAAATGAAAACTTGTCCCCTTTCCCCCAATGCTTTCTAGTTGATTTTCTAGTAAAGTATAGCCATTATCGATTTTGTATTACACAGATGCAGTAAATATGAAAATTAGTATACAACAAGGAGGAAGTTTTCTATGTCTTTATTTAAACATTTCATGAAGTGTGCTGCTTGCTTCTAAGAGCAGTATGTATTAGGTTAAGTGGCTTCTATTTCACTGATTAAACTCTTTCTCTTTTTTCTTAAAGATTCAAAATGGAAAGTTTAGAAGAACCTCAGAAAAAAGTCTTTAAGGCTCGAAAAACGATGCGAGTGAGTGATCGTCAGCAACTTGAAGCGGTATACAAGGTTAAAGAAGAACTGTTGAAAACTGATGTCAAGCTGTTAAATGGCAACCATGAAAATGGAGATTTGGACCCAACCTCACCTTTGGAAAATGTGGATTACATTAAAGACAAGGAAGAGGTGAATGGCATTGAAGAGATTTGTTTTGATCCTGAAGAAAGTAAAACAGAATGGAAAGAAACACCCTGTATCCTAAGTGTTAATGTAAAAAACAAGCAGGATGATGATTTAAATTCTGAACCTTTGTCTCCCAATAATGTAACTCTAGAACCAGAGTCTAAACTGACTGCTGAACCAGTTTCTGGTGATCCAGCCCCTGGTGATCTGGATGCTGGAGATCCAGCCTCTGGAGTACTGGCCTCTGGTGATTCCACCTCTGATGATCCCGCCTCTGGTGATCCCACCTCTAGCGATCCTTCCTCTAGTGATGCTGCCTCTGGTGATGCCCCTTCTGATGATGTCCCTTCTGGTGACGCCACCTCTGCTGATGCCACCTCTGATCTCTCCTCTGGTGCTCCCACCTCTAGTGATCCCCTCCCAGGTGAACCAGTCTCTGTTGCACCCATTTCTGGTGATTGTGCCTCTGATGATATAGCTTCTAGTGAAATAACTTCTGTTGATTTGGCTTCCGGAGCACAAGCTTCCATTGATCCAGCCTCTGATGATCTGGCTTCTGGTGAACTATCCTCTAGTGAACTGGCCTCTGATGATTTGGCCACTGGTGAATTGGCCTCTGATGAGCTGACTTCTGAATCAGCCTTTGATCGTACCTTTGAACCAAGTTCTGTACCAGTTTGTGAACCAGTTCCTGAAATTGACAATATAGAACCAAGTAGCAATAAAGATGGTGATTTTCTTGAAAAAAATGGGGATGATGAAAAGTTAGAGCAAATTCAGAGTAAAGACTCATTGGATGAGAAAAATAAAGCTGATAGTAATATTGACACTAATGAAGAAACTCTAGAAACAGATGATACAACTATTTGTTCAGATCGACCTCCTGAAAATGAAAAGAAGGTAGAGGAAGATACTATCACAGAGCTTGCTCTTGGAGAAGATGCTATATCTAGCAGTATGGAAATTGACCAAGTTGAAAAGAACGAAGATGAAAATTCTGCAGATCTTGTAGGAAGCATTAGTGAAAATGTTACAGAAGATGACAAAAGTGAGAATATCTTAGAAAATACAGACTCTATGGAGACAGATGAAATCATTCCTATTTTGGAAAAGCTTGCACCTTCTGAGGATGAACTTACTTGCTTTTCTAAAGCATCTCTCCTTCCAATTGATGAGACAAATCCAGATTTGGAAGAGAAGATGGAAAGTTCTTTTGGTTCACCATCTAAACAAGAAAGTAGTGAGAGTTTGCCAAAAGAAGCCTTTTTGGTCCTCTCTGATGAAGAGGACATTTCAGGTGAAAAAGATGAGTCTGAAGTTATATCACAAAATGAAACGTGCTCTCCAGGTTAGCATATAATTTAAATTTTAAAGATTTGTATCGACTTTAATTAACTGTTTAATAAAACATTATCATGTTTTAAATTTATTTTAGCTGCAGAGAAAGTTGAAAATAGTGATGACGCTATAGAAAGATGTCTTAATTTCATAGAATTCAGAATTACAGTGTGTCTCCTCTGTGAGCGGCATTGTGCTAAGTACTAAGAAAGGAGATAAAGTAAGTAGAAAATATGCCCTTATAGTCTGGAAATAGAGATGAAGTAGAGCACCATAACACTGAGATAACAATTTAAGTCAGTACATAATTGACTGACGTTGTAGCAGTGGTTCTTTCTTGGTATAATTTAGTGAACAGATAACTTAAAACTAAAAGCCTAATAGTTTATTCTATTTGCTTCAAGCATAACAAATTATATTTTTATTTAATATTCTCAATGAAATCCTATTCTTTAATATCTTTGTCCAGGGAATGACACCACCATTGTTGTAAGCCAAAAACCTTAAAGCTTGATTTTCTATATGATAGACACTTCACCCATTTCCTTCCTCAGCCTTTTTGGTTCTACCCAACCTATTCTCTTCCTCCTCATTTTCTACATGAGCTCTCTATAAACCATTTCTCTTACTTGATATTGTCCCTCTATGTTGTTAGATTTCTGTTACTTTTAGGTTGATTTCAAACTCCTTATGTAAAAGGTATATTAACTTTATGATTTGTTCAGTACCTGTCTCTCCCATCTCTTGTATTTTTACTAGAGAAAAAGAGAATGAGAAAAATTCTACCTTCTTTCATGGTCAACTCAAAAACACTATCCCTGTATGAAACTTTCTCAGCCTAAGGAAGACTGAGAAAGGCATGAATAACTTTCTGTTCTCATTATATCACATTCTTTTAGATTTAGACATCTATGAGAGAAGTGACCTTGCTAGCATAAAACAGTCTAATTTGTTAAAAGAAAAAAAGAAATGGAGGCAGATCTAAGAGACACAGAGACAGTTTTTCCCCAAATATATCATACCAGCTTTTGGAAGTAGATTTTTTTCTTACTAAAAGATAGCTTTTTTGTTTTTTTTGGCCAGGTGTGTTGGCTCATGCCTGTAATCCTAGGACTTTGGGAGGCTGAGATGGGCAGATTGCTTGAGCTCAGGAGTTGGAGACCAGCCTGGGCAACATGGCAAGACCTGTCTCTACAAAAAAATACAAAAATTAGCCAGGCATGGTGGCATTTGTCTGTAGTCTTAGATATGCTTGAGGGGCTGAGGTAGGAGGATCGCTTGAACCTGGGAGGTTGAGGCTGCAGTGAGCCGAGATTGTGCCACTGTACTCCAGCCTGGGTGACAAAGTGAAACCCTGCCTCCAAAAAAAAAAAAAGATGGCAGTGAGCTGAGGTCATGCTACTGTACTCCAGCCTGGGTGACAAAGTAAGACCCTGCCTGAAAAAAAAGAAAAGATGGCTTTTTATTTTCAAAGAGCATTCAATTAACCTATGTAAAGAGACAGACCAGGCCCTTCTTGGTTCTAGAGATTTGAAGATAGTATTTGCCTTGAAGATATACACAAGAATTAAATCACAGGTTATTAAATACAAGGCTGTGAGTACGGTAATAATGTTAAATTGGTATTCTGTGAGTGCAGAGGAAGGTAACTTTATTAGAGCACCAGATGTATTCAGGGATATCTTGCCCCTTTCAATAACATAGAGTTTTTGTTTTGGTTTTGTGAGACAGGGTCTTGCCCTTTTGCCCAGGCTGGAGTGCAGTGGCACAATCATAGCTCACTGTAGCTTTCACTTTTCTGGCTTAAGTTATTCTCCCACCTAAGCCTCCTGAGTACCTGGGAATATAGGCATGTGCCACCATACTTAGAATAAGTTTTAATTTTTTTGTAGAGACAGGGTCTTGCTATATTGCCCCTGCTGCTGTAACATAGGATTTTAATGAGTCTAATTCCTTTTTTTTTGAGATTGAGCCTCACTCTGTCTCCAGGCTAGAGTGCAGTGACACGATCTTGGCTCACTGCAGCCTCTGTTTCTCAGATTTAAGCAATTCTCCTGTCTCAGCCTCCCAAGTAGCTGGGATTACAGGCGTGCACCACCATGCCCAGCTGATTTCTGTATTCTTAGTAGAGACAGGGCTTCACCATGTTGGTCAGGCTGGTCTTGAACTCCTGACCTGATGATTCATCGACCTCGACCTCCCAAAGTGCTGGGATTACAGGTGTGAGTCACTGCACCTGGCCAAGTCTAATTCCTTTCAATGGCAGCTCTATCCTACTTGCTCAGGCCAGAAACCTTGGAACCATTTTTATTTTTTCTTTCACATCCCATATTCAGTCCACCAGGAAATTCTGTTGGTACTACTTACTATCTTAATAGATCTAGGATCCATTTCACAACCGCTGTTACTCCTGCTCTGAGTCAGCATCGTCCGGCCAAAACGGTGCCTGGCACGTAGTAAGTGCCAGTAAATATTTGTAAAGTGAATAAATAATAGATGATACAAGAGAAGCATATCATCAAGGAACTTGATTATAATGCTAAAGCTTTATGATAGCATTGGAATGCCAATAAAGGACTTCAAGCAGAGGAAAATGAAATTTACATTTTGGAAAGATAATAGGTGACAGTGCTTGAGAATGAACTTCATCCATTCAATAAGTGTTTATACAGAATGTGGCACTAGGACAAGTCCTTAAAAAAGCCTTGTAAGTTTTTTTTTTTTTAAGTCTGTGTATGAAAGTTAAAAAATCAAATTGCAACTTATGATTTAATGAGTTTATACATCTGACCTTTAAGTCAGAATCTTTATATTGGAGGTCATCCCACACAAGGCATTTAAGTGCTGAGAGATGAATATTAAGTATTGCAAGTTGCATACTTTGAAAATTCAAAGTTGGGAATATTATTGATTACTTGCCTTTAATCTGATGGTATGCTATTAGCAGGGCAAATTTTCATGATAGATTTAATTTCTTGGTTCATAACTAAGCTTTTATTCTGTATCTTTTCCCCTTCCTCTAAAGGTAATTTTGTATATTTTCTATTTAAGAAAGGTTTCTTAATTGGTTCTTAAACTATACTCTGTTCTCTTTTTATGGTGGCAGAATCTGTTGTATGTCCTTTATCTTGCTGTACAGTACACCTGCTGAAATGTTACTTAAATAAATGCCTTTATTCTTGACTAATTTTTAATGTACTCAGAACACAGAATTATTACCTGAAATACTGAAGTCTGGCTTCAATAGTGCTCTTCCTTTTAGCTACTAACATCTATGAGTGTACTAAAAAGGAAAATAGCATAACCTTTCTATCATTTCAGTCACTTGTTTAGCAAATATTTTAAATATAGCAGTTATGTTGAGCATTAACAGCAACAAAAAATAATGAAAGATAATAAAGCAAATAGAAAAGCTATTTTAATTTTCCGAAAGTAGAAGAAAGAAGTAAAAAAGTGTTGCATATATACCTTAATAAGCCTAGAGACACTGTTGAATTGTGGCATAGTTCTGTTATAACTGATAACTCACTAAATTATTAAAATGATAGTCTGTTTAAGGAGAATAGTAAAATAAAGATTTATCTCCCTGGAAATGTTCAAACACTAGAGGATTTGCATCTCCATACCATATACTTTCCTCTAGCTACTAATTACTCTCTTTCAGAGCCATTTTTCAAGTTATATTAACAAAGCTAGCACCATTTTTTCTTCTCTTAACCATTCCTCTTAACTGGATTTTGATTTCTGCCTTGCTAGCTTCCCCAGTTTTAATTTTTCTCAGTGAAATGATATTGGTGACTGTGTTATTAAATCCGGGGACATCCGTTCTTTGTTTTATCTGTTCTTCCATACTTGGATGTGCTCTTAATAATAGTCCTTCTGTCTTGAGACTCTCCTTAGCTTTTAGTAGCTTTTAGGTTACTGCATTCTGTCTTCTCTTTTTTGGTCCTTCTCATTCTATTTCTTGTGGAAAAATAGGGATAGGCCTTCTCCACATTCTGCTTTTTCTTAAATGTAAGATTTTTGAAGAGAAGAGTCTGTTTTAGAATGAACCAGAGCTTACATTAAATATTGACATAGTTTCCTTGCAGATTTTATTTCAGATTAAAAAAAAATCTGGTTGATATTTTCTTCCCCTTGTTCATTGGATCTTTAACATAAATAAAACAAACATAAACTGATTCTAATGAGGATAATTACCTTAGACTAGAATTTGGGACTTTCTTCTTTTTTTGCTTAGGTTAGTATTGATAGAATTGGCATGATTTAGTCAATTTACTGATAATTTGTCATAGTTGTGTTCAGTTAAAATTCTTTATCATCTCAATCCATTTATATTTAGCTACTGTATTGTAGTTGGCTTCTCTTTGTGGAGCTTCTTAGTTCTATACACAAGTGGGCAAATTGCAGATTTTTATTTTCAGAGTTGAGGAAGACCAAAGATGAAGTAGATTTTGGAAGGAGGAGTATAGGAGGAAGATCATTTTCAGATGAGTATTGTTGTCCGAGTTAGATGTGTAAGTCTGGATTTCAGATCAGTGACTTGATTTGTATTAGAAAAATATAGTAGGTAGTATGTAGCTGTTAGTTGAAGTCAGGTGACAAGGTGAAATCAGCTCAGAGTGAGTATACATGGAGAAAAGATTCAAGAACTGAGCTTTTGGCATTTCATTGTTTAGTGGTTTGGGAGATAAGGAAGAACCAACAAAGGAGCCGAGAAAGAGCAGCTCCTGGGGTAGGAAGAAAATGGAGAGATTTTGGTGTTTCAGAAGCCAAGTAAAGACACTGTTTTGAGGAGGGAGAAAGGGAACTGTTTACTATATCAGATGCTGCTGTGTGTGCTCATAAGATGAAGAGAAGTGTTTAACAACCTGGAGATCATTGGTGACTTTTACAAGGGGCAGTTTTGGTGAACGCTGGAGTGGAAAACCTGATACAGTTTGAAAAGAGAGAATTTGAGGGGAAGAATTGGAGATAATAAATTGTAACTTTCCCCCACTAAGTTTTGCTTTTAAAAAGAGTGCAAAAATTCACATAGAAGCTATTACTTGCCACTCTGTATTGATTAAATAAAACTAAAAATGTCTGGAAAAGTCACATTACCAGTCATGACTCATTTTTCTGATAGGCCTTGTTAAGTTGAGAATCTTTTTATGTTCATTTGCCTTTTGTAGTTTCTTGTTTATGAATTGCCTGTTCATCCCCCTTGCCCATTTTTCTAATGGTTATTATCTTTAATTAGTCTGTAGGAATTTCTTGTTTTGTTATAAATATTTTCATGGAGCCAGTAATCTAAAGCAGGGAATTGGTAGACTGGTCTGTGAGCCCTGTTTTTGTAAACAAAGTTTTATTGAAACATAGCTATGATAATTTCTTTACATGTTACATAGCACTTATTGCTGATTCCTGCAGCAAGTGCAGAATTAAGAGGTTGTGTCAGAGACAGGGTGGCTAACAAGTTTGAAAATACCTATTTTTTGGCCACTTACAGAAAAGATTTGACAATCTCTGATCTAAGGCAATGGTTTTTGTCCATTTTTCCTTAGAATAAAGTTCTTTAAAGTATACTTCTGCAATGGGAAACTAAGTCCCGTAGTGTAAATTCTATTTTGTAATCCTTTAAAAATACACTTTTCTGCCTTTACTTAACAGAAATTTGTTAAAGGTAATAGTCATCTGATAAGTATTAAACATCTAATTTGTCTCAGCTATTTCTCAAAAGTTTTTGGGATTACCAAAATTATGAGATCTGATACCTTCCCTCAGTGAGCTTACTGTCTAGTCTGCTTGAAAGGAAAGAATATCACACATAAAACTGAGAACTTGCCAAATTGTGATGAGGTTATACTCAAGAAAATCAGAGTAATTATAACAGAAACTTATCTGTGAGTAAGGAAAGATTGTAAAAAAGACATTCTTAACTTATTTGGATGAGTTTCGGGAGTCCCAGGAACTACCTGAAATTACTTCTAAAATTGTCCATGTACCAGGGACCTCTGATTATTACTCTGGGTTGAAGGAGACCCATTATCAGTTTTCCTTCAGGCTTTGGGGACAAAATCAAAGAATATAAGGCCTTACACTTCTATGTACAATCTGTTAATACCATTTTTTAAATCCCAAGTTTTGTCTGTTACATAAAACTCTTAACATATATTTTAATTCTGTGAATCCTAAGTATTTTAAGTTATGGGAATCCAGTAATATCTTCTAGGCATATCTGGAAACTGGGGTTGGGTGATAGAAGGAGGTTTTTGAATAAAAAGAAGAAATCTCAAGCTGAGCTTGACTTATGGAGAGAAAACTTAACATGTGTATAAAAGAGGCAAACCAAACCAGGCCAATTTACTCTGCTGTGTTCTGCGTCTCTGGCTTGGAGTTACCCTAATTGGAGCCATGGCTAATTTTGTGCTTTCTGTGATGTGAGTTGTTGCTGAATAAAGACTATGAATAAAGACTATCTAAACCTTTTATCTCAAGCAACCCAGTTACTCTGTCTCTCTGGAAACTCTGGGAACTAGGAAGCTCAGGAGTTACCAATACTCAGTATTAAACAGGAAGCAATGGAAAAATATATATAGAAAAAAATGTGTTATACTGAGTTTTTGATCTGTTTATAAGAAAGCAAACAAATTTTTATTTCATTGAAACTGAGGTTGAGAGATGAGGTCTTAAAACACTTAAAATTAGCGAAGGATAGTAAATGGAAAGTTAATTTTCAAATAATTTATTTTAAAGTTCAAAAATAGTTTTAGTAATCCTGTGTACTGTGTTAGCTTATTGTTTATCTTAGAGTGAAAAAAATGCTTCTAGCCCCTTAATAGATATTTGTCAATGATCCTCATCTCTGCCTATTTTCACCTAAAATAGCTTTTAAAATTTTTTAAATCTTGACTTTTGCTATTAGGGCTGTTGTGATTAAAAACTCTGATGATTGGAGAAGAAATGTCATATTAGAATCTTTATATACTTTATGATTGCTTATTTACTATTAGTAGAACATGATGAAACATAGCATGCTTAATTGAAGCCACTGAGAAGCAAGATGCAATGACGTAAGGGGGAAAAATAGAAGTCAAGCATCTTAGTGTTGTTTTGTAGCTCTCTTATTTCTCATTTAAAGAGTAGATTAGTTGAAGAGGCATTTATTGATTGACCAAAAGAACATTTCTGGTACCTCTTGGATTTTATTTAATATAATCGTGTAGACATTTTTAGCAATATCTTTTGGCAGCACTCTTCAGTTGTTACATTTTATATGACTAATGAAAATTAACCCTTCTGGGTTAATTTATATTTAGCTATTGTACTTGGCTTTATATTTTATATGACTAATGAAAATTAACTCTTCTGGTTTAATTTATATTTAGCTCTTGTACTCATGAAAATTAACCCCACTGGGCCAGGCGCTGTAGCTCATGCCTGTAATCCCAGCACTTCGGGAGGCCAAAGCAGGCGAATCACCTGAGGTCAGAAGTTGGGAGACCAGCCTGCCCAACATGGGGAAATCCCATCTCTACTAAAAATACAAAAAATTAGCCGGGCATGGTGGTAGGTGCCTGTAATCCCAACTACTCGGGAGGCTGAGGCACGAGGATTGCTTGGGCCCTGGAGGCAGAGGTTGCAGTGAGCTGAGATCACGCCATTGCACTATATAGCCTGGGCAACAACAGCAAAACTCCATCTCAAAGGAAAAAAAGAAAGAAAAGAAAAGAAAAAAAAAAATTAACCCTTCTGAATGTTTTCCTCATCAATTTCATGACAAAAAATACAGTTTATAGTTTGAGATTATATTGTGACTATGTAATAGCTATTAAGCACCTAGCTCAGTTGTTGGCACTGTTATCAAAGTAGGTATATACTTAAAGATTTTATTATATTTGGGATAGCCTTTCTATTCCTTATTTATGAACTCTCTCTTCCATAAGAATTAAAGTAACTTAATGATTCAACCTGTATGTTCAACATATTAGGTGTTTTGAATTTTCCGGTAGTTTGGAATTTTTATGGTAATCATATGGCCACTATTTTAATTACTGAATGTAAAGGAATCAAAATGCTCTACAACAGTTGTTTTCACATTTTATTAATGTTATTGGTGACAGAAAATTACTAAATAATTTTTTAAAATTACTTAAAATCTATATTAAGATTAAATCCTGTGTGGAATTTGTTCTGAATTGCTGAACAGTTGAATGTAGACTTGATCATTCATTCTACCAGTTCCTATTCCTCTTTTTTTCTTCCCAAAATTTTACATTTTGGGACTCTGATTTTATAAAAGGTTAGTTTTGTAACTGGATAGTGACTAAAAATGTAAATTAGTGAGCTGTTATGAATTCCAGTACAAGTAAGATTTCCTTTTCTATATTTGTTAACAGCAGAAGTAGAAAGTAATGAAAAGGACAACAAACCTGAGGAAGAAGAGCAAGTAACACATGAAGATGATGAAAGACCTTCTGAGAAAAGTATGCATGTATAAACAAACTTGAACTTGTTTGAAAAATAATAATTCTTTGTTTCTGTATTTGCAACCATGGAATATTCTTTTTTGCCCATGAAGTGACTGTAAAATTTTGCAACTTAAGTTACCTACAATTTTCATTTTGTTGATGCTAACTGAAGGATTTCCGAAAGTATACTTCATATACCTTAATATTTTATTTTGTTTGTTTATACTTTTTTTGTTCCACAGAAAGATTCAGCTTAAAATTTGCTAAGGTACTAAGTGTTTTGAGATAAATAGCTTTAGATTTATGTTTAGAGAATGAAACTACAAGAATTTTCTATGGGCTAATATAAGTGAATCGAAGGGTGTATTTTAGTCTACTTAAGGTTCTTTATCTTTATGAGGCCAGATGTAGTGACTCACACCTGCACTTTAGGAGGCCAAGATGAGAGGATTGCTTGAGGCTGAGAATGCAAGACCAGCCTGGGCAACATAGCAAGAACCTATCTCTACGAAAAAAAGCCAGGCATGGTGGCACACACCTCTAGTCCTAACTACTTGGGAGGCTACAGTGGGAGGATTGCTTGGGTCCAGGAATTCAAGGTTACAGTGAGCAGTGATTGAGCCACTGTACTCCAGCCTGGGTGACAGAGTGACACCTTGTGAAAAAGAGAAAGAGAGAGAGAAAGAAAAAGGAAAAGAAAAGAGAGAGAGGAGGAGGGAGGGAGAAAGAAAATGAGAGAGAGAAAAAAAAAGAGAAAGAATAAAAGAAGAGAAGGAGGAACAAAGAAAGGGAGGGATTTTTTTAGCTTTGTGGGAAGCGGGGGGAAATGATGGACTGAGTGTCCTTAGATTTGGGAAGAGAGATCACTGGACTAGGAGTCAAGAAAGCTGGGTTCTGTAACTCTCCTGTCATGCTGCTCTCCAGATATGACTGTGGGTAAGTTACAATTATAAGATAAATTATGTAATTGAGTGGATTTAAAAAGTAGGCACATAGATACAAATATAGAGTGATACAGAGTGGGATAGGCATGGTCACATAAAAGCATTTGTGTTTAAAAAGTGTGGAGAGAGTAGTATTTTAATTTTTTTAGTTATTGAAGAAGAAACCAAATACTATTTGCTTATGATTCCAGAATATTAAGAGTATTTGAAACAAATTTTCTAAGCGAAGTCTTTTGGTCTGTATTTTTTATAAATGCTTCTAATGACATTAATTTTATTTTTATTTGAAATTGATTAGGATATGTTAAGAATAACTATTACTGTGCTAGTTTTGTAAGGCTGATGATTAAGAATTTTTTCTTAAACTTACAGAGGAAAAAGAAATAAAGCTGTGTATAGTTAAAACTCTGACATGAGAATGAATACTATATTTTGGCAGAGCATTTATGTGCACTGTGACATTTAGTTACAGGAATGAATATGAGATGATTTCATCTACCTTCTTCATGACACAATTGTTAGGCAGTTCTCCTTCCTAATATGAAGATTTCAAGGAAATTCTGTGTTCACAGTGTGCATTGCTTGACCATTGGGAGGTTCTTACTTAGTATATTGACAGTCATTTGAAGTTTTAAGCTAAAAGCTATATACCCACTTTTCTAATCTCCAAAACAATTTACAAAATAGTTGATTGAAAACTGTATTTTGATAGAAACAATGTTTTGCTGAGGATCGATAATATGCATTAAGTGCTATAAGAAAAACACCCGAGTGTGATCATTGTGGTTTTTCTTCTCAGATGAATTTTCCAGACGAAAACGTTCTAAATCAGAAGACATGGACAATATACAGTCTAAACGTCGTCGATATATGGAAGAAGAATATGAGGCAGAATTTCAAGTAAAGATTACAGCCAAAGGAGATATTAACCAGAAACTTCAAAAGGTATTGTGTAGATTATAAGTTATAAATCATATTGAATAAATAATACCACTGTCTTCTTCCAAGGTTTTGACAGTATTCTGTGTTTTATTGACATAATCTGGTTTATCATATAAAGAAAGAATTTAAAGAAAGTGGTTGAGCTTGTAAAGCCGATTACTGGCCAGATGTGGTGGGTGGCTCATGCCTGTAATCCCAGGCTTTTGGGAGGCTGAGGTGGACGGATCATTTGAGGTGAGGAGTTTGAGACCACCCTGACCAACGTGGTGAAACTCCATCTCTACTAAAAATACAAAAATTAGCTGCATGTTGTGGTGGGTGCCTGTAATCCCAGCTGCTTGGGAGACTGAGGCAGGAGAATCACTTGAACCCAGGAGGTGGAGGTTTCAGTGAGCTGAGATCATCCCATTGTACTCCAGCCTGGGCAACAGAGCAAGACTTCATTTTAAAAATAAATAAGTTAATTAAAAAGTCTATTACCATTCTTGATAATTTATTTTTAAAATTTCTTCTGACTTATTTTTGGTGACATCTTTTTTTTAAAAGATGGTTATGATTATCAAAATGGAAGGGAGAGAAGATGACATTTTTCTTTATTTGCTTTGGTAACAAAACAGAATGTTGTTTTTCAGCTTTTCTTTCTTTCTCATATGGAACGTAATCTTATTGTGAAAAGGAAATTTTATAGTTTTAAATATAAACATTTTAATCTTTATAAAGCTGGTTTCATGGTTATAAGCCTGTGCATTCTAAACTCTTTATTGTGTACTTTAGGGTTAGTATAAAAATGGTAGAGACAGAGCTTTAGAAGGACTAGAGAAAGGAATATTTAAAGTACAGACTTTGAAATTCTCCCTACATCTGTTTGACTAGAGATAGAAATAATGAAAATATTCAGTATTTTATGTTTTTCAACATGTGTTCACAAATGTTTGTACAAATGCTTTTTTTTAGAGAGGAATATTAAACATTGGTGATAACTAGTTTTTCAAGGTCTTATATATTTAAGGATGACATTTTATAATAAATGTTTTAGACCAAAATTCTTTCCGTAAGATACAATTATTTGTACTTTGTAGAAAAAGAAATAGGCAGTAAAAACTCCCAGTGCTTCCCCCCACCCCAGTTTCTTTTTATTTGACATACGGATAATGATACTTATTCAGTCTTTGTTATAGAGCTGTTAGAATTATGAAGGTAGCTATGTGAAATAATTTTGAAAACGGATGGGTCCTGAGAGTTTACTTCTTTGAACAGTGTTACTCAAGTATGGTCCATGGGTATGTACCAGTGTCTTGTTTGTTGTGGACGCATATTGAGAATATGGAAATTTTAAATAGGCATTTAGAAGTGTTAATAGAATTCAGTGTTAGAGTGTCATTCTTAATGCTTCTCACAAAAATCAGTAATTGTAACAGATTAGAAGTTCTAAAAATTGGTCCTTTAAGTGGTTTCCTTTAAGTGCTGTGAGCATGGTACGGAGGGTATATGGGGACAAAATACTAAAACTTCAAATTATTTTCAAATTTTACTCTTTGGAAATTTTCTATTTTTAGTATGTATTACCCTCTTGAAGTAGATTATATATATATAGAAGTAGAGGATTTCAGCAGATGGTATTGTGTTACAGATTCTAGCATGTATTATTCATTAAATTGGTTAATTTATCATTTCTATCTTGGCAGTTAAGAATATTTGTTGTTTATTGCTTGCTGGAATGCCTTCTTGGCATAATGAAGGAATATTTGTTTCTTTAGGTTATACAGTGGTTGCTGGAAGAAAAATTGTGTGCGCTGCAGTGTGCTGTATTTGATAAGACTTTGGCAGAATTGAAAACACGAGTGGAAAAGATTGAATGTAATAAGAGGCATAAAACAGTTCTTACGGAACTACAGGTTTGTACATTGACTTGAATTGTATACTCCTTGTGTCATTGTTTTTATAACTTATTTTCTGGGATTTATATTTGAAATTGACTATAAAATACATTGAAATTCTAAATATAAGAAGTAAAAGGAGTCTGTTTTAGTTTACCAGGGCTGCTGTAAAGAAAGTGCAATAAACTGAGTGGTTTAAACAGTAGTAGAAGTATTCTGCCTCACAGTTCTGGAGGCTAGAAGTTGAAGGTCAAGGTGCCAACAGTATAGATTCTTTTTGAGGGCTTTGCGGTGAGGAAGAATCTGTTCTATGCCTTCACTCTAGCTTCTGTTGGTATGCGGACAGTCTTTGGCACTGTAGAAACATCACCCTGATCTCTGGCTATACCTTTACATGGTGTTGTCATTGTATGTGTGTGTGTTTGTAAATTTCCCCCTTTTACAAGGACACCGTGAGTCATTGGAGTAGGGGCCCAATATACTCCAGTATGACTTCATCTTAACTAATTACCTCTGCAATGACCTTCTTTACAAATAAGGTCACAGTCTGAAATACTGGAAGTTCAGACTTCAATATATGAACCTTCAGGGGACATAGTTCAAACCATAACAGAGGCCCAGAAGTTACTGGATCTAACTTCGTGCTTCATAATTTTTTTCCCACTCACTGAAGAAAGTCTGCCATTTAGCATGCTATAATAAATACCAAATAATACTTGTTAGGGATTCTTTTTATGTTAATCTGCTTCCTTTCATGGACCTTATGTTTTAAAGATGTTAGTTTACTAACACGTATTTATTACTTTCTACTTTTCATGTTTTATTAAGTACAACTATATTTTAACATATACCGAGCTTCTGATGAGCTGAAATGAGCACATAGTAGTGTGCTATAGTAATCTACTTTATTTAAAAGCTAAAAAGCTGGTATTTGAATCAATACATTCATTCTGTCATAAATAAGTGTATGATTCCTATTGGGCTATTTTATATATGAGCATAGTCCAAAGATGCTGAGTAATAAACCATGTATAGGGCCTTATTTTGCAAATGAGGGGAAAGTGGTCCATCGAAGTTAAATCACTTTTTCAGTTATGAATGAAATTTTAGTTAAATATGATTAGAATTTAAGTGTACCTCCCAGACTCAAAGTTATTTTCTAGGTTTCATACTGTTAATTTTGTTTCATGTAATATAAAGTCTTTGTATTAATTTTGTAGTGAACCATTTAGGAATCCACTAGTTCTGCTTCTCGCCTTTAGCAGATCTTTCTATAATGATAGTGTTATTTTTCTTTTTTTGGAGGCAGGGTTTCACTCTGTTGCCCAGGCTGGAGTATGGTGGCACAGTCTCAGCTCCCTGCAGCTTCTGCCCCCAGCCTCAAGCAATCATCCCATCTCAGCCTCCCAAGTACTTGAGACTATAGGCAGGAGCCAAATTGTGTTTTTTGTAGAGATGGGGTTTCGCCATGTTGCCTAGGCTGGTCTTGAACTCCTGGGCTCCTTTTGTCTTGTTGCCTAGGCTGGTCTGAACTCCCATCTCAGCCTCCCAAAGTGCTGGGATTACGGGCATGAGCCATCGCACCTGACCTATCTAATTATTAAACTCTATTTTGCTAGTACTGTTTCAAATTTTGAATTAAATCTGAAAATGCCTGAAGATTTAAAAGAATAACATTATTCATTGTTTCTCGTCACACCCATGGGTGCAACTATGAAATTGTGTGGTTAAAACCTAAGTTTTTGGCTCGGTGCAGGGGCTTATGCCTGTGACCCAGCACTTTAGGAGGCCAAGGTGGGTGGATCTCTTGACTCTAGGAGTTTGAGACCAGCCTGGTCAATATGGTGAAACCCCATCTCTATTCAAAATACAAAAAATTAGCTGGGTGTGGTAGCACATGCCTCTAGTACCAGCTACTTGGGAGGCTGAGGCATGAGAATTGCTTGAACCCGGGAGGCAGAGGTTGCAGTGAGCTGAGATTATGCCACTGTACTCCAGCCTGGGCAACAGAGTGAGACTGTCTACAAAACAAACAAACAAACAAACAAATAAATAAATAAATAAATAAATAAAATAAATAACAAAACAAAACAGAAACCTGAGGTTTTGACACCTATCATCTCAGACATAAGGTGCAATTCAGCTTTCTTAACATTTAAATTTGTACTTAGATGTTGCTTTGTAGTCCAGACTCTGAATCTTTCTAATGCCAAGCCAGTCATCTTCTCTGCAAATGTTCCTCTTACTGAAGATTTCTGAATTCTTGGAAAACTCTTGAAGGAAAATCTTCACATTGTTCCTGTTCCTCTTATTGACAGCTCTAGAATTCTTGGAAACCGATCCCCATCAGTCATTTTATATACACAGTGAATTGCCAAGTTTCAACTTGATTATTTCCTAGAAAAAAAAATCTCCCTCAATTCTTTTCACTTTTCATTAGGCCATCATTAGCCAGTTCATTGATTATAGTAACACCTTTAATATGAACACTCTGGTATTAGTTTTTAAGTTTTTGCTTGTCTTTCCAAAGCATGGTACTAATCTTTCTAAAACACTGATTACTTCATTCTCTTTGTAGTCCAAGTTCCTCACTTGTGTACCAGTAAAACTAATATTCATTAAAAAAAAAATTTAAATTTAATCTTAGTTTTTAATTCACTTTTTTTGATATCCACCAATTGCTTTACTGTCCTGCAAGGTACTATTAATGTTTATTGTATTTTGATATCAGCCTTTTGATTTCATATTGTTTCCCCTGTTCATTCACCCATAATCATGTGCCCTCACTTTGCTGTTTATGTTACCAAGCCCAATTTAATTCCCATCTCTTTCTGTCTTGTTCCAATACGTTGTTTTTTTATGGAAATAAAATTCAGATACCAGACTGTTTTAAAGTGTGTAATTCATTATTATTTAGTACATTCACAGTTTTGTACAACCACTATATCTAGTTTCAAAACATTATTGTCAACTCAAAAGGAAACGTTTTGCCTATTAAACACTCACTCTTCTTTTCCTCTTAAGCCTTTGGCAACCACTAATGTGCTGTTTCTATTGATTTACCTATTTTGCTTATTTCATATGCCTCTTTGACTTAGCATGTTTTCCAGCTTCATCCGTGTTTGTAGCATGTACTTCATTCTTTCTTAGGGCGAAATAATACTCCATTTTGTTTATACATTCATCCATTGAATGGCCTTTGAGTTGTTCCTACTTTTTAGCTATGGTGAATGATGCGGCTTTGAACTTGTATACAAGTATTTGTTTGAATACTTATTTTCAAATCTTTTAGGCAAATAACTAGGTGTGAATTGTGGGCCATATTGTAATTCTTTAACTTATTGAAGAATCACCCAACTTGTGTTCATAGTGGCTATACCATTTTCTGTTCCCACCAGCAATGTGTGAGAGTTCCATTTTTTCCACATCCTCACCAACACTTGTTATTTTATTTTTACTTTTATTTTTTAATTATAACATCTGAATGGTATGAAGTATCTCCTTAGGGTTTGAATTTGCATTTCTCTAATGATTAATGATGTTGATCATCTTTTCATGTGCTTGTTGATCAGTCATATGTACTTGTTTATAGAAATGTCTATTAAAGTCCTTTGCCCATTTTTAATTTGGGTTTTTGCCTTTTTGTTGTTGAGTTATAAGAATTATTTATATATTCTGGATACCAAACTCTTATTAGATACATGATTGCAAATATTTTCTCCCATTCTGTAATTTGTCTGCAGTTTCTTGATAATGCCTTTAGATGCACGAAAGTTTTACATTTTGATGAAGTCTTACAGATAATATAGTTTGGTCATAATTTATTATCAGTTCTGCCAATCTCTACCTTTTAATCAGGGACTTTATTTTCATTTAAAGTAGTTACTAATAAGACAAAATGTCTGCAATTTTATTTTTCTTCTATATGTTCCATATCTTTTTTGTTTCTACTTGTTATTTTATTTTTACTTACATTTTTAAATTATAGCATCTGAATGATATGAAGTGGTATCTCATTAGGGTTTTGATTTGCATTTTGTTTTGCAATTAATTTTTTTTCCTAGTGTATCATCTTGATTCCTTCTTGCTTCTCTTTCTATATAGTTTTTAGTTTTTTCTTTAGTGGTTACCCTGGGGATTAAATATCTTAACTTTATAACAATTAGGTTTGAATTCATACCTACTTACTTGCAGTAGCATACCAAATCAAATATCATTATGGTTGTGCTCTAGAGAGGGAAATATGGTTTTTGGTGTAAATACAACCCATGTGGCAATTATTGGCAACCATTCTACCCAAACTTTGCCCCTGTTTTGCAGTGCATACATAGTTCACCCTGATTCTGCCATTCACTCTGAATATAGCAACACCTGGCAAATCGATTCTTGTTAGAGCAAATATAAAGCATAGTGCAGGACCATGAGAGGAGTTTGTTGAGATCTTTTATGCTCATTTTGGGCCAAATTTGTGTGGTGCAATTGGTTTGGAAATAAAACTTTCAATTCCTTCTTACTATGTATTTCAGAACAATATTCTGTTAACTAATATGATATTTTTGCTTAATATGTTTTAGTATAATTATCCAGGGACAGATTGTTCACTTGAATACATATGAGACAAGTTGTTCTATTGGTCTGATAAATCTGTGACCTAGAAATAAAAATAAATACAAATAAACTGCACAGGGATTGGAAAAGGAGACAGGATCCAGAGGAGATTCTTTAAGAACATTTTTATGTTAACGTTGCAGCAATGAAATCTGCTGTATATAAAAAGGAAGCAGGAGACCAGGCACTATGGCTCATGCCTATAATCCCAGCACTTTGGGAGGCTGAGACAGGTGGATCACCTGAGGTCAAGAGTTCAAGACCAGCCTGGCCAACATGGTGAAACCTCATGTCTACTGAAAATACAAAAATTAGCCAGGTGTGGTGGCGCATGCCTGTAATTCCTGCTACTCGGGAAACTGAGGCAGAAGGATTGCTTGAACCGGGAGGCAGAGATTGCAGTGAGCCGAGATTGTGCCCCTGTATTCTAGCTTGGGCAACAGAGTGAGACTCTGTCTCAAAAAAGGAAGTAGGAAAGCTACATTTTGAGGAACTCTATCAAAACTATAATCACAGATCTATTTCTGAAAGTCATTTAACCTAGAAAGCTTTACCAGATAATGCTGACAAATATTTGAGCAACAGTTAATTCTTGTCTGATGTAAACTGTTTCAGGGTGTGGAGATAGATGAGACCTCCGTTTTATGAAGTAAGCCCATCTACGAAGTCTCTAGCACAAGAAAAGAAAAAACATAGTTTAGTTTTATTCCCCAGCATAGATTTCTCTTATGAATGCAAGCCTGGTTCAGTATTAACAATTATATTTCACCGTACTAATAGAGGAAAGGTGAAAAATAGTGTGATCATTTCAGTACATGCCAAATCAGGATTTGTTAAAATTCCTCAGTCATTCATGTGAAAATACATGGTAAATACCTTGAATCTCTTAAAGGATTGCTTTCAGAAACCTGTTGTAAATGTCATATTTAATAATGGATTATTATAAATATTTCTACTAAATTTGAGAATGAGACAATGTCTGTTAATACATACTGTGATTTAGAGCTTTGATATCAGTCTTGGGCAATACAATGAGACAGTAAAAAGAAATGAGTAACAGTTGGTAAGTGGGAACCCAATAGAATTAAGTTGGCAAACTTTTGAATGAAGGAAATTTAGCAATTGCCTGATAAAAGGACAACATATTCTAATAGTTTTCCTTATCAACAATAACCAATTAGAAAATATAATGAGAAAAATGTTTCACATATGCTAGTTATTTAAAGTAAGCACTTAAGAATAAACCTAAAAATAATTTTTTAAGCCCATTATGAAGAAAAAGGACAGAATAAGAAAATAGCAGTCCACCGTGATACACTATGCTCCTAGATAGGAGGACTTGATTCTTCTCAAATCGCAGTGTAGTTCAAATTCATAATACTCAAAATTTCAACTAGATTTCTTACGGAAATGGAAAAGCTGTCAACCCACCCTGGAATATAATATTCCATTGGTTATGACTTAGAAAATACCATTTTAAGTAGATTTAATTGAAAATGGCTATTTTACTTTTCCTTTCAGCCTCTGCTTCTGTTCCCCATCAGTGAAGTTAATTTATGACAGCCTAATATGAAGACAGTTTTAAATAATGGAAGCTATGAGTCTGTTTATTCACTTGTTTTTATGAGCCAGTAATATTTTGTTATAGGGCAAACTGGATATTAAGAAAACCTTTTTTGCCGGGCGCAGTGGCTCAAGCCTGTAATCCCAGCACTTTGGGAGGCTGAGGCGGGTGGATCACGAGGTCGAGAGATCGAGACCATCCTGGTCAACAAGGTGAAACCCCGTCTCTACTAAAAATACAAAAAATTAGCTGGGCATGGTGGTGTGTGCCTGTAATCCCAGCTACTCAGGAGGCTGAGGCAGGAGAATTGCTTGAACCCAGGAGGCGGAGGTTGCGGTGAGCCGAGATCGCGCCATTGCACTCCAGCCTGGGTAACAAGAGCGAAACTCTGTCTCCAAAAAAAAAAAAAAAAAAAAAAGAAAACCTTTTTTATTTGTAGACAGAGTTATTTCCTAAGAGGTTTCCTGGGTACATATGCAAAGAAATTCTTGGTTTGTCTAGTTTGCCAAATAAAACCCCATGTAATAGAATATTACTTTTCTGGAGTTACAAAAATGACTTGTTTATTCATTTTTTTGAAAAGTCTCAGCATATTTGCTAAAATAGCCATTTTTAGATACAGTATGGCATATATTTTGAATTATATTTTAAAAAATTGTACAGCTTCCCTTGTAAAAACAAAAAGGTTGCTCTTTGATTTCTCTGTTTTATAATATTAAATATCAGAAAACTATAAATGTTCACATTTTTGAGTTTACTTTTCTGCTACTGGTTTCATTTTTAAAATAATTCTTTTTTAAAAAGAGTTTGAATACTACAGATCTACGTGATGTGAAACTGAGGTTCTTATGTTCACTTTTTTTTTTTTTTGAGACAGAGTTTTGCTCTGTCGCCCAGGCTGGAGGGCAGTGGCGTGATCTTAGCTCACTGCACCCTTCGCCTCCCAGGTTTAAGTGATTCTCCTGCCTCAGCCTCCCGAGTATCTGGGGCTACAGGCGTGGGCCACCACACCTGACTAATTTTTTGTATTTTTATTAGAGATGAGGTTTCACTGTGTTAGCCAGGATGGTCTCCTGACTTTGTGATCTGCCCACCTTGGCCTCCCAAAGTGTTGGGATTACAGGTGTGAGCCACTGTGCTCGGCCCTTATGTTCACTTTCTTTCCCACTTCCTGCCAGTTACAGCTTCCAGGGATGATTACATTTAACCTTGGAATGTATTGAAATGTATCCTTGTAGATCTTTTTCTATACATGTAACATTTACAAGATGATTTTGGGGGAGCTTAAGTAAAAATAGAATAATAAATAATATTATATATACTATGCAGTTTTTAGTATAACCACATGGATAATCTGACCAAAGAAAAAATTACATTCTTGCATAAATTGGGGTACAAAAAATCTGTCCCCTTTTCTGTCACCAGGCTGGAATGCAGTGGCGCGATCTTGGCTTACTGCAATCTCTGCCTCCTGGGTTGAAGCGAGTCTTCTGCCTCAGCCTCCCAAGTAGCTGGGATTACAGGTGCCCATCACCACACCTGGCTAATTTTTGTATTTTTAGTAGAGATGGGGTTTCACCATGTTGGCCAGGCTGGTCTCGAACTCCTGACCTCAAGTGATCCACCTACCTTCACCTTCCAAAGTGCCAGGGTTACAGGTGTGAGCCACTGCATTCGGCTCCCCCATATACCTTTTCAAAAAGTTAATGAGATATTTTAGTCATCAGAAAGATAACTTCATATTAAGGATATGAAATTATGCTGTGTGATCTTGAGCCTTAATAACATGCATAAATAACTAACTCCTTGGGAAAATCTTAATCTTTGGGAACCATAGGTGACTGACTGCCTAGGCCATAATATTGGACTTAAACACATTGTAAGATTTGGGGTCTTCTTTAGAAGTGACTGCTTTTTGAAAGAAACTTTAAATGTAAATCATAGCATTTCCTCATTTTTATGAAGTGAATGCCCTTATTAGATAAAAGCTCTTCTTAGGTAGGGCCTCATGAATATACGCAGAAGTTTAATTTTCTTGAAAATATGTTTAATGTAAAATGGCTTCAGCAGCAACAATAGAAGCAATTGAATATTGCATCTATGCCTAAAGACCGAAAGAAAATACAACCAGATATTCATGTAGTCATATGAGAATTTTTCTTTATTTTTATTTCTGTTCTGCTTTTTTCCCTTAGATTTCCTTTCAATGTGTATTTGGGCAAAATATGTGATCAGGGAGTTTATGTAAGCACAGCAAATGATTAATAATCTTACTGACCATGTTGATACTAACGAAGTAGTGGTTTTTTTTTTTTTTTTGAGATGGAGTCTTACTCTGTCCCAGGCTGGAGTGCAATGGCACTGTCTTGGCTCACTACAACCTCTGCCTCCCAGATTCAAGCGATTCTCCTGCCTAAGCCTACTGAGTAGCTAGCATTACAGGTGCACGCCTCTATGCCTGGCTAATTTTTGTATTTTTGATGGAGATGGGGTTTTACCATGTTGGCCAGACTGGTCTTGAACTCCTGACCTCAAGTGATCTGCCCGCCTCGGCCTCCTAAAGTGCTGGGATTACAGACGTGAGCCTCCATGCCTAGCCATGGTAACATTTTTATCAGATTGTTGAAGATTAACAGAATATGGAATTTAATTTTTGAAAAAGTAATATATGAGCATTAATCTACACTTCTGTTGAAAGTGTCACAGTAAAGCCTGCACATCTATCCATATGTATTAGTGGCAAGCAGTTTTTTATGACTTAGCAGATTTGTTTAATTTATGACTCTCAGAAAGTCAAGTATGATTACAACTATGTTAAAAAAAAAAATACCAGAAAACACAGGCTTACATATTCAGTAATGTACTGGTAAGTGAGCAACAATCACAATTTGAGGAAGAAATAAGCTAACTTAATTAAGAGTGTTTACATCTGAGTATTGAGTTTAGGGGTCACTTAGTTTTAATTATTATTTTCTGTATTTTCCAAGTATATATTTTACAATCAGATAATTTATTTTCCTTGCTCTTAGCTGTCTTCTGCGGATCAGGTTTTCTATATGTTTCTTGTTATATATTCATTTTTTTTTTTAAATTCTATAATACCATTTGATTTCCATTCATTTTTGTCTTTTTTTCCTCAGGCCAAGATAGCCAGGTTAACCAAACGATTTGAAGCAGCCAAAGAAGATCTTAAGAAAAGACAAGAAGTAAGATTTTCTATTCTTGCATAATTAATATTTAGCTCTAAGTGGTAATCTTAGGAAATGCTGAATTAGGAAGAAACTCTGTATTACAAATCTGAAATTTGCTTTCATACTGTGTATTCCTATATGTAATTTCTGGACTTACAGCTCTAAAAATAAGGAACCCCTTTCAAATTCTCATTTACTATTCTCATATATCAACATTTATATTAATCTATTTTAGTTTATGCAATTCTTTCTTTTGTTTGTTTGTTTTTTGAGATGGAGTCTTTCTCTGTTGCCCAGGCTGTAGTACAGTGACATTATCTTGGCTCACTACAACCTCTGTCTCCCAGGTTCACGTGATTCTCCTGCCTCAGCCTCCTAAGTAGCTGGGATTACAGGTGCGTGCCACCGCACCCGACTGAATTTTATATTTTTAGTGGAGATGGGATTTCACCATGTTGGCCAGGCTGATCTCGAACTCCCGACCTCAGGTGATCCGCTTGCCTTGGCCTCCCAAAGTGCTAGGATTACAGACATGAACTGTCGCGCCTGGCCCCTTAGGTTATGCAATTCTTGAAGCTGTGTTTTCTATCTGTCTTTAAAATTATGTTTCAGGGATTTGTCTTACCTTGTTTCTTTCATTTTACGTTCTTGTCGGTGTCCTAGTATGGTCTCTTACTATTTTTCCCAAAGAATCTTAGTATTCTACTGACTGTAATGTTTCTGTTCTCCCCTTCCTTTCTTCCCCATATAGTCAATCCTCTTTTATACATTACTTGTAATATACAGAGATTAGATTAAGTCACTTTACTGCGTTAAACATTTTGAGTATTTTTTAAAGTATGCAATTAAGGTCAAAAATGATGTCATAAATTGACTTTCATAGTCTGGCTTTTGCTTTTTGTTGTTTCCTTCATTTTTTCTTTATTATTTTGCTACTCTTCCGTTATTTCCTTTATTATTCATATTTTAATATATTACTTTGTATATTGCATTATAGTTTTTAGTTGGGTTTATTTTCTTTTCTTCCTGAATTTTTTGTGTTTTTAAATTTTTTATTTGAACAAGTTCCAGTTCTTTATCTTGATAGCTCCATTGTCTGGCCCATAGTAAATTGCCAGTGCCAATAAATAGTAATCATATTTCCTAGAGATTTTTCTGTATTGATGCATTTTCATATATTCTTTCTTGTCTTTGCAGCAATAGTGCATAGATCCCTATGAACTCTTCCCCTAGCTTCCACTAGTGGTGAAATCTTATCATAGTAGTATAATATCAAAGCAAAGAAATTGACAGTTTTGTGAAGTAGTGTACAAACTTAACAGTTTTTACATGTGTGTAAAAATTCATTGTGCATATGCGTCTGTTTGCCAGTGTTTATGGTTCCATGCAGATTGATCACATGTATAGATTTTTGTAGCCCCCATCACAGTGAAGGTATAAAATTGTTATGTCACCATAAGTGTACTCCCTGATGCTACCCTTTTATGGTTTTGTTTTCACTAGTTAATCTGTTCTTTATCTCTGTATTTTTTTTTTTACTTAGCTTTTTAAGTGTTGACTTCTTTTTTTCTTGAGCAACTGACAGTTGGTTTTTGTCTTTGTTCTGTAAACACTAATCTTCCCAAAGTTTCATTTGGTCATACCTAAAGATTTTTTTCATTATGGTCTTTTTCAATGATGTAATTAACTGTCTATTTCTAGACTCTAGTTTCTTAGTTTTGTTTCTTTGTCATAATTCAAAGACTGAGGTGTTTTATTATTAGATAATGGGTTTAAATTTTTCTTTTTAATTTTATTTTTAACTTGAGAATATTGTTTTGATGTAAAGGTGTAAATTTTTACTTTAAAACATTTATTTTCTATTTCTGAAACAAGCATTTGTCTTTGAAACTTTTCTATTTGTTTTTTACAGTATGAATTTCACTTATTCTCTTTCCTTCTTGTGCCTGAACTCAACAACACTATGTACTTTTCAGTTTTAGTGCATGTTGAATTTGTTCTCAACACTACTGTCAATTCTTCTTGCCTATGTAGTCAAAGGAGACAGGCAGAGACTTTAAGGAATATAGATGAAAATATTATAGTTCCTGAACATTGCTGTTTTGGTGAACTGGTAGTAGTTTCAAAACAAAGAAAAAAATACCATACAAGCTCTAAAAATTGGATGTGATTAATTTGATCAATTAGGGCATATGGTACTTGAAGAAAAATGTTACGGCGGTTGTTTTTGAGTCTTTCAAATTTTGTGCCTTCATTAGCTTGTGGTTAAGGCACCTTTCTACACATTATTATTAATATATTTTTTTCCAGTCAGATGTCTAGAAATTTGAAGAATTTAAATCATTCATTTATTTTATTTTATTTTTATTTTTTTTGAAACAGGATCTCACTCTGTTGCTCTGGCTAGAGTGCAGTGGCATAGTCTTGGCTCACTACAACCTCTGCTTTCCAGGCTCAAAATATTCTCCCACCTCAGCCTCTCAAGTAGCTGGGGGCTACAGGCACATGCCACCACACCCAGCTAATTTTTGTGTTTTTTGTAGAGAATAGTGTCTCACTATGCTGCCTAGGGTGGTGACGAACTCCTGGGCTCAACCAGTCTGCACACCTCGGCCTCCCAAAGTGGAATTACAGGTGTGAGCCACCATGCCCAGCCCTTATTTATTTATTTATTTGTTTGTTTGTTTGTTTGTTTGTTTCTTTGTTTGTTGTCAGAGTCTTGCTCTGTCACCCAGGCTGGAGTGCAATGGTGCAATCTCAGCTCACTGCAACCTCCACCTCCCAGATTCAAGCAATTTTCCTACCCCAGCTTCCCCAGTTTCCCCAGTAGCTGGGATTACAGGCACCTACCACCAGGCCCAGCTAATTTTTAGTATTCTTAGTAGAGACAAGGTTTCGCCATGTTGGTCAGGGTAGTCTCAAACTCCTGACCTTGTGATTTGCCCACCCTGGCCTCCCAAAGTGCTGGGATTATAGGCATGAGCCACCACGACCAGTCCCCAGCCCTTATTTATTAATTCTTACAAAGGTGACTTATGGGATATGGTGTGAGTTGCACTCCTGCTAGTTTTCGAAACTACATCTGATTATGTGTAGCCATTTAAACATCAGTAATCACACTGCCTCACAGTCCATTATTGTTTATAATGATTTATCCTTAGATTTGTAAATTTTGTCTGAACTCTGCCCTCTAATTATAGTATCCACTATAATTTTATACTTGTTTCTTCCTAGGTTTTAAAAACAGGAGAGATACAGAAAGGAATATTCCTCTTATCAATAAATAGCGAATAAAACTTTAAATGCTTTTATTTTATTTAGATTTGCTCCTTGGTCCTCTGCTATTAGCTTATTAAAACAAACCTCACCATTCAAGTTTGTCTCTAAACATTTTCTATTTTATTTCTAAAAGAGCAGGAAACCTTCATAAAGGCACCTCACTTCTAAGACCACATTCATAATCTAATCTGTTACACTGATGGATGACTGTTGTCTCTACATTTGGTTCTTTCCAGTACTTCCTATAAAATAATATTCAACATATTTTTCATACTTATCCTGTATCTATATAAAGCAATCACTTAGTTAAATTTTGGATTAAATCTAAATTGTACACTAGATGTTTTCTTTTTAAAATTTTAAGAATTCTTTTTGTTTTTAATTGTGATAGAAACATATAAAATATACTCTCAATCATTTTTAAGTGTACAGTTATTTCAATATAGCATTCACATTGTATGTAACAGATCTCTAGGACTTTCTCGTCTTAGAAAACTGAAACTGTATACATAAAACAACTCTTTATTTTCCCCTCTTTCCAGCCCTTGGAAAACATCATTCTACTTTGTTTTCATGATTCTATTTTAGATAGCTCATGCAAGTGAAATTATACAGTATTTGTCCTTTTGCGACTTGCTGACATTACTCAGCACAATATCATCAAAATACATACCTGTTATAATGTGTGATAGGACTTTCTTTTTTCTCAGGGGAGGATAATATTCCATTATACATATTTTTATTGTTTAATTTGTTGATGGAGATTTGGGCTGTTACTATCTTTGGGCTATTTTGAATAATGCTGCAATGGACATGAAGTGCAACTATCTCTTTGAGATCCTATTTTTAATTATTCTGCATGTATAGCCAGAAGGGGAATTTTTTTTTTTTTTTTTTTTTTTTTTGAGACGGAGTTTCGCTCTTGTTACCCAGGCTGGAGTGCAATGGCACAATCTCGGCTCACCGCAACCTCCACCTCCTGGGTTCAGGCAATTCTCCTGCCTCAGCCTCCTGAGTAGCTGGGATTACAGGAACGTGCCACTATGCCCAGCTAATTTTTTGTATTTTTAGTAGAGACAGGGTTTCACCATGTTGACCAGGATGGTCTCGATCTCTTGACCTCGTGATCCACCCGCCTCGGCCTCCCAAAGTGCTGGGATTACAGGCTTGAGCCACTGCGCCCGGCCCAGAAGGGGAATTAATGGGTTGTATGGTAATACCTTTAGGTATTTGAGGAGCCCCCATACTGTTCTTCATAGAGGCTGCAGCATTTCAGATTTGTAAAAGTAGTGCTCAAGAGTTCCAGATTTCCCATAACCTCACTAACATGTTATTTTCTATTGTTTTGTTAGTGACCATCCTCATGGATGTATGTGATATCTCACTGTGGTTTTGATTTGCATTAATTACTAGTGATATTGAGCCTCTTTTCATATGCTTGTTGGCCATTTATATGTTTCCTTTGGAGAAAAGTATCTTCAGATTCTCTGCCTATTTTTAAATCAAGTTGCTTATTTTTGTTGTTGCTAAGTTGTAGGCATTCTTTATATATTCTGAATATTGACCCTTATATAAATTATTTGCAAATTTTTTGCATTATTTGTTTACTTATCAGTTGATTGATTGCTTTCATATACAGAAGTTATTAAGTTTGATGTAGTCCTATTTGTCTATTTTTGCTTTTGTTGCCTTTGCTGTTAGTGTCATATACAAAAGAATTATTGCCAAATCTAATG